AAGAAAGGAAATAATGCCTTTTCTTCTGTTTTCTTTGAACATATTTGAGACTTCCTCAAGAAGTTTTAAAATTAAAATTGAGTTGAAATGGAGGTTGGCACTGAAAAACAAGCAAAGTTCAAGTGCCATTCTACAGAAGGATGGAGAACTGCTTTCCATGCATTCAGAATTTAAATTTCTCTTCTGATAAGTGTCTGCCTCCCATGCTGCCTTGGAAGTTGCTTTTGCATTTCCATTCTTTCTGAAGACTGTGTATGTATTTGTTTGTCTGTCTGTCCATCTGTGTGGGGGGGTATTGTTGTTCAGAAATGACATTGGGTGAGGTGTTCTAGTGGTATTAGACTGCAGGAACATGATAAGGGGCTTGGAGAATGGGTTTCGGTACCTCAGGCCAGCTGGCATGCACTGATCAGCCACAACATTAAAGACATCTGCCTAATATTGTGTGGGTCCCCTTGTGCTGCCCAAACCGCTCTGATGTGTCAAGGCATTGACTCCACAAGAACTCTGGGCATGTCCTGTGGTATCTGGCACCAAGACTTTAGCAGTAGTTCCTGTAAGTCCTGGAAGTTGTGAGGTAGGGCCTCCATGGGATTTGGTGTCCTAGTACATCCCATAGAGTGGATTGAACTGTGGCGAATTTGGAGCCCAAGGCAACAGCTTTAACTTTTTGTTGCATTCCACAAACCATTCCTGAGCAATTTTTGCAGTGTGGAAGGGTGCATTATCCTGCTGAAAGAAGCCACTGCCACCAGGAAACACCATTTCCATGAAGGAGTGAATATGGTTTGCAGTCTTTTTCTATTGCTCCATGGTCCAGTTCTGATGCTCAGGTCCCCATTTTAGGCACTTTCAGTGGTGGACAAAGGTCATCATGGGCACACTGACTGGTCTGCGACTATGGAACCCTATACACAGCAAACTGCGATGCACTGTGTGTTCTGACACCTTTCTCTCACAGCCAGCATTGGGTTTCTCAGCAACTTGAGACATTAGCTGTTCTATGTGATCGGACCAGATGGCTAGCCTTTGCTGTTCGTGTGCATCAATGAGCTTTGGGGACCTGTGACCCTGATGCCAGCTCACCAGTTGTCCTTCCTTGCACCACTTTTGTTAAGTACTAACCACTGCAAAGAGGCATTAACCAAAGAGGCATTAAATAACATCAGGTGCCTGCCTGTCTTGGAAGAGTTAGACAGCGAACCAACTTTAGCAGAAATAAAGGCAGCTTTGGATTCCCTCGCCTCCAGCAAGGCACCTGGGAAGGATAACATCCCTGCTGAAGTGCAGTAAAACAGAGGTCATCAACTGCATATCCGCGGCCCAGTGCCAGTCCATTGCCTGAGCCGGACCGGGCCTTGGAGATAGCCCCCCCTCCCGCATGCACTCCCCTCCCGACACCTGCTTTGCACACGTGCGTGCCAGCGCATGAGCACTCCCCTACCCCTTCATGCATGCACACGTGCAAAGGGGTGGGCGTCACCTGCTTTGCACACGTGCGTGCCAGCGCCGGCATGAGCACTCCCCTACCTCTTCACGCATGCATACGTGCAAAGGGGTGGGTGGGTGTGCAGGCGCTCCTGCACATGCACGAAGGTGTGGGCAAGCACTCATGCTGACATGCATGCGTCCAAGAGGCTCAGCCAGTCCGCGGTCCCAAAAAGGTTGGGGACTGCTGCTGTAAAGACATCATCACCACTGAGCTGTAGGAAATCTTTTGTCTTTGCTGGAGGGAAGGTGGAGTACCACAGGACATGAAGGATGCAAACATCATCACATTGTATAAGAACAAAGGAGACAGGGACAACTGCAATAACTACTGTGGCATCTCTCTTCTCAGCGTTGTAGGGAAGCTGCTTGCCCATGTTGTGCTGAAAAGACTCCAGGTCCTTGCAGACAGAGTCTATCCAGAATCACAGTGTGGATTTCGGGCTAATAGATCCACTATTGATACATAATGAAACACTTTGGTTAGGAGGGACGGCTTTTTAAAAATCCTTCCCAGGATTGGATGTCCACCTCGACTCCTTAACATCATCAGGTTCTTTCATGAAGGGCACTGTAGTTTTTGGTGGCTCAACATCTGATCCCTTTGACACCCAAAGCAGAGGGAAATAGGGCTGTGTCCTCGCGCCGAGCCTGTTTGGGATCTTTTTTGCTGAAGCACACCTTTGGAACTGCAACAGAAGGTGTCTATCTCCGGACTAGATCAGATGGAAAGCTCTTTAATCTCTCTAGATTGAGAGAGAAGACCAAAGTCTGGCTGAAATGCATGCGGGACTTCCTCTTTGCCGATGATGCAGCTGTTGTTGCCCACTCTGCTGAAGACTTCCAACAACTTATGAATTGTTTTAGTAAGGCCTGCCAAGATTTTGGACTAACAATCAGTCTGAAGAAAACACAAGTCATGGGCCAGGGCATGGACTCACCTGCTTCTGTTACCATCTCCACACAAGAACTGGGGGTTGTTCATGACTTTGTGTACCTTGGCTCAACAATCTCTGACACTCTCTCCCTAGATGTCAAGCTGGATAAACGCATTGGCAAAGCAGCTACCATGTTCTCTAGACTCACAAAGGGAATATGGCTTAATAAGAAGTTGACGGCATATACCGAGGTCAAGGTCTATAGAGCCTATGTCCTGAGTATACTCCTGTACTGCAGTGAGTCCTGGACCCTTTATGCACAGCAGGAGAAGTTAAACATGTTCCATGTGCGTTGTCTCCGACACATTTTTGGTATCACCTGGCAGGACAAAGTTCCAAATAGAGTAGTCCTAGAAGGAGTTGGAATTTTTAGCATGTATACATTATTGAAACAGCGATGTCTACGTTGGCTTGGGCATGTTGTGAGAATGGCTGATGGTCGGATTCCAAAGGTTCTCCTGTATGGAGAATTAGTGCAGGGAAATCGCCCCAGAGGGAGACCACAACTGTGATACCAGGATATCTGCAAACGGGATCTGAAGGCCTTAGGAATGGACCTCAACAGATAGGAAACCTTGACATCTAAGCATTCAGTCTGCTTTGTCACTCTCGAATTGGCCTTCTCAGTTACACTAGATGCTGTCCCAAGTCCTTCATACAGAGCATGTTACCATAGTCTCTTGAGACTGAGGGATGCCTAACAAAAACAAAACAAAACGAAACAAAACACTGGATACCAGGAATGCCCCACAGGACCTGCCATTTTGGAGATTCTCTGACCTAGTCATCTAGCCATCACTATGTATGGCCCTTGTTAAAGTCACTCAAATCCTTTTGCTTGTCTTTATTTCCTGCTTCCTACATGTGAAATTCTGTTCATTTGCTACCTAATATATCCCACCCCTTGACAGGTGCCATTGTAATGATATAATCAGTGTTATTCACCTCACCAGTCGGTGGCTTTAATGTCATGGCTGATCAGTGTATATGCTTCAGTTGCACAATGGCTCACATGATTGCTTCGCATCATGGTAATCCCAAGATTGACTCTCTGATTTGTTCAGACAGCCCGAAAACCCACAACAACCATCTCTGATTTATGTTCATCTAGTATGCAACCCAGACAATGTAGTTCAGTATGCAAGTTAGGATGGTAGCATCTTATGGATACTAGGCAACCTGTTCTGTGCCACGTCCAAACTTGCAGAACTTTAAACAGTAAAATTGTGGCTGTTTCAAACAAGCTGACATGCGTGTACAGCTATTGCCCCCAAATCCCTATTTAATGCTGCTAGTACAAATTCTCCTATTGTTGTGAAGTTAGATTCACGTTTCTGCATTTGAGTGATGCAGTGGAGGTGCTCTGATTCCCTTGGGGAAAAAAGGATTTGTTAAATTCAGAAATTAATGTAGAGGTAGGGAATAGAGTTGTGTCTAACATTGCTATTGATATGACACATGCACTTCAACATGTATGACTATGGAACACATGCAGCTAGACGGCTCAAATGGTAAGGGATCTGAGAGGAACCTGTTGGTGAAGTGGGGCATCAATGGAAACTGAAATGTTCCCAAAGGCCTTTGTTGAACTGTGTGAGATGGGAGTGTCATCTATCTATGATAATTTGCAACTATATAATTACAACTGGAGATATATGGAGACGAATGGAGCCCTTTGTAGAAAAATGTGGCTTTCAGTTTTAGCAGTGTTGCTTCTAGGGAAAATGTTAAAATAAATTAACTTGTCACTTTTTAAACTTCTAAAACAATTCTCTAAAGTGCTGCAGGCATCTGGTGGGGAGAGACTAAAATGTGGTACTTGTCATGAGCATTATTTGAAATGTGTATGCCTGTATTACAGCAGTGTCGGTAGCTTTTCTAGAAGCTTCATTGTGGTCTTACAGACTGAAACTTTCCTGAAAACCAATAAATAGGCTTGACCTAAGAATATAGTATAATGTTAAAAAAGAAAATCAACAAAAAGTCTTCTGCCATCTTAAAGACTAGCAAGTTTTATTTGATATTACTTTTGGGGGACTGGAGCCCACTTCATCTGATGTAGAAAGTATGGGGTAATTTGAATTATACCCGTACACATGCTGTGATGAGAGAACGTAGGAGAAATGCAAAAATTGCTGATGATCTTAGCCATGGCTGTTCAAAGACATTTAACAGTCATAGAAAGGAAGATGGGATTTGTGATGTTTGTTTTCTAAATTACATACATAGGATGTAATGTGCCTTTCTTCTTTAAGTATCATTTTGTTAAAATGATTAAAGTATAAATATAGAGCAATATTAGGAAATTTTCTTTATATTTTAAACAAGAAAAAAAATCCTAAAATTAATTTTTGAATCTTTTAGCCAAAAAAAGGTTGATGCGTGTGTTATCTGTTGATTGGAAAATGCTAATACTGCTAGTAGTAAAATAAATTAGTTTGCCAAAAAAAACTATAGATAAGAAATACTGTGATGCTACTGACATCAATATAGCTGTCTCTGATAGCCCTCAAAACAACGTATTATTTTGTTACAATAATGCTGCTGTTGTGTTCTGTGTTCTTATTGTTTCAGCCATCTTGGTGATTGAGTTTATCTATGCTATTGTGGGCATTGTTTGGTTAACTCAGTACTACAGCTCCTGCAATGATGTTACTGCCAAGAGTGTCACTTTGGGTATGTACTTGGAAGTTTTTGCTTGAATTCATTTTCTGTATGCATAGTTGTTTCCACTTCTAATGCTTGGAATACCTGTAGAGACTTAATCCCTTTGAAGACATCAACAATGCATAAATAATTAATGCCCTTCCATCCAGTTAAATATGTTTTAAGTAATCTGTGCATGCAAAAACCTTGGTGCTGTCATCTGTTTTATACAAAAATTGCCTTCACTTTTGTTGGTAAAGATCAAGATTGTTGCTGCAGGAATATAATGTAAACACAGAGCGTACTGGCCAAAAGAGCCATATCTGCCATTTATGGACCAGACATATGAATCTTCACTCTGTTTCATCAGGAATGGTCGTCTGCAACTGGGTCGTCATTCTGAGTGTCTGCATCACTGTCCTATGCGTCTTTGACCCAACAGGCCGGACCTTTGTCAAACTGCGAGCCACAAAGAGGAGACAACGTAACTTGAGGACATATAATTTGAGGCAAGGAACTTGTCAAATACCACTTCAGGGATTGGCTGAATTGTGTATCTTTTATCTATTTTCATTCCTTAATTTTTTTCCAAAGTTGAATTTTGTTTCTGTAATATGGCCAATAACACATATAGACTGTTCTTCTTTTCTACTCTGTTGCTGTCACTCTATACAGCCACCCAGGACAGTTTGGAAAGCAGGTTATGATGTGCCTTGTAATAGGTAGCTCTTTGTGTCACTCCCATGCTTTCTTGGGACTCCCATTAAACCTTGCCCCTCTCCCAGGCACCATCAGGAACAGTTTCTTTCTTCTTGAAATACCAATACAGTGGCAGTGGGGGCCATATGGAGGCAAGAAAAGCTTTTTAAATTACTGTTTTTGGACTGCTGCTCCCAGGGTTCTGTTCAGAGGAATTATTGGTGATTTTTGTATAAAACAAACAAAAATCCCATCTTTAGTAGATGTAGTCTCTTAATCCATAGAAAAGGAAAGGACATGATGTTTAGAAGTGCAAAGTTTTGAGTACTTGATTGTACTTGATGAAAGAGATCTTGAAACAAGTTCCCTTTTTATTTTAAAAGAATAGCACAATATTGAAATCTACATACTTCAATGTTTGAGTTCTGTCTCATTTGGCAGATTCTATTGTTTCAGCCGTCATCTTCAGATCTTAACAATATATTGTATAACATTTGGATCTATATTTAATTACTGAGATTTTTACTGGACAAAAATAAACTATAGTCTGGGGATCAGTAACATAAAATTGTGTCAAGTTCGTGTTTAATGTTTATTTTCACATAATGAGTCATTTTTGTGGACATTGCTCCTATTAATCAGTAAGTACAATGGGAGGTATTTCAGAAAATTTCTATGAATGTTAAAAGTATTAGTGGTGCATTGCACTGGATTTACTGTTTAATCCACTGCATATCTACTCAAAAGCCAGGTCCATTGACTCTGTATGACTTGCTCCTGTTAAGTTTGTATAGGATTACAGCTTTAGTTTATGTTGCCAGAACCTCATGTTTTTAAAAATTACAGAATGAAATCAAGTTGAAACATATCAAAGTATTAATAGAGCAAAAATAAAAGCATATTTACTATGACACTTTTGAAACTTAACAGGTTTATTTTACTTGAGCTTTTGAAGGTTATAGTCCAGTTCCTTAACAGTTAAATCACACTTTTTATATATGTAGAGTGTAAAGGGTAGAGAAGCTGGGATCAAGTGAGGCGCAAAAGTGTCTGGAAATTATTTTCAAAATGACAGTAGCACCATTAATTCTAGCAATGAACATTCAAAGTACTGGTTATATAGACATCCTTATCAGCAATCAGCTTGACTATCAGTTGGTATCATGCTGTTTCTTTAAAGTGTCGATGGAGATAGTTTACAGAAAGTTGTGCTGAAGCCAGAATTATGTCACAAAACGAATTTACTGCTTGTTGATATCAGGGATGTGTATGATGAAAAATACAACATTTTTAAAAAAGAATGTCTTTTTTGTTTCTGTTTTTAGCATGCCGGTCCTTTTGTTTAATGTGAAAGACAAAGCCTCTTTTAGATTGTTCTCCTTCATATTGTCTGATACCCCCCAAACCCTAAAGAACCCTCAAAGACTACTAAAAAAACAGAGACAGCGCAGCAGAGAATCAGTCTATTCTCTATGTAGACAACAATACATGAGAAGGAAAATCATCAAAACACCTCACGATATATACCTTTAACAGAATGAATATTAATGAAATAACAGTTTTTTTAAAAAATAAATCAAATAGGGAAACCAATCCCCTTATACAACTCCCAAGGAAGGACTATCAGGCAAAAGGAACACTTCTCACTGGGTGCCAGGCCCTTCTACGGGTTCAACAGTCCCCATCTGCACCAGGACCTTCTGACTGGCTGCTGACAGCCCTTGTTGGTCACACCACCATGTATTTGTAATAGCTCTTGTTATTGAATTAAGTATTTATCAAGCAATTGTGGAAACAAAGGATGGAAAAAAGAGGGAACTCAAAGAAAAAAGACTTTTTTGGATTCTTCTTTTGTTAATACAAATCATTCATCTTTTAGAAGTTGCTTTGGGAATCAGTGAAGGAACATTAGAATGAAAAAAAGAGCCTCTTCCAAGTCGTTTTTCTTTCATGTAAGCATGAAAGGCCAAGAATCCTTAGTTTTTATTTAATCCTTTTGATGCATAGTGGCATATAAAAATGTAACAATTATGCTCCATGTATCTGAATAATTGATTTGTAATCCACAAAAACTCACACTGGAATATATCTGTGAAAGTGCAATGAAACCTTTGCTTTTATTTTTCTTACACGTGTTGAAATAGAAGTAGCTTTGTTAGTCTTAGTACTCATAGTGAAGTTTTAACTGCTTTTCATTGGCTCATAATGTCTGCCCTCTCTGTACTTTATTTTCATTCCCCACCCAGTAATACTATTTCTTGTTACTAATGATGAGTGAATTCCCCACCATGTGTCATATTTAGCTTACCCAAGCTGTCTTGATCAAACCTTTTGGAAAATTGTATATGTATTGTCATTATACCAACCGTTCTTGAAGAAAACTTGCAAAGTTGGCATTTACATGTATCCTTCCCAAAAATAATTATGGTTCAAGGTATATGGCTAGCATAAGGAGTTGGCTGTAAATAATTCAAGCATTGTGTGCCTCATTCTTAAGGGCCAGACACTCTTGAGCCTGGTTTTGACTGTTACTTGTTCCTGAGCTACAAGATAAGTTTGCTTAGGAAAGCAGGTGACTTGTGAACTGGCTGGCGGTGATCCTATTAAAAATAATATGTGAATGTCAGAGTTACGTATGCAGTTCCTAATATCTGGAGGGGAGCCTGAGTTTGTCCATATAAATCCTCTGGTTCTGAACTTCAGTGGTGTCATTACTGGTTATGAAAATGTTGAGGGGTTAGAGTCAGAGACTTTGTTATATTTTTGCATCCATAATTGCGGGTGCTTATCAGTGCTATGTACCTTGCACCATCTTTCCAGAAACATATCTGAATTTCTTTAAAATATCTGTAGGGTGTATCTTATTTGTAATGTCTGCAAATCCCTTGATAATAGTTGTATGAGATTTGAATGCAGATATAGTTCAGAGCTGTTCACAATTATTCCATGTTATAATCAGTTTCTGTTGTAAATATTCTAGGTGTTAATGCTGCCTTTGTCAGTCTGCTGGCTTTCTTTTTATTTCCAATTGGGTGCTATGAGCCTGATTATCTACAGTAAATGCTACTTTTCTGCTTATTATAGGCACCGCTTGGAGGAGGGACAGGCTAGCAGCTGGACCCGAAGGCTGAAAGTTTTTCTTTGCTGCACACGAACAAAAGATTCCCAGTCAGTAAGTAGCCATTATCTTTCCACCAAAGAGCAAATACCATGGCCAGCCAATGACAATCAGGTGTTCTAAGACTGTAGCAGTAAGAATAACATAGAAAATCAGTTTCAGGAAATATTTCATAGAACTCTGTGGTCTGGTAAACTTACATATCTTCTGATCTCATGCTTAAGAGACTTGGAATGGTTCCTAATGTCCAGTCATGCTTGCTGCATAGAGGCTCATTGTCCTGTTGCCCCTTTTTTGAGACTTTTCTACACATAGGTGGTGGACCTGCAGTGCAAGCTGATCATGCCCTGTTACTAAGATAAGGCTATCAATCTCTTAACCATAGTAAAGTGGCTGAGATTTTTACATTTCGAGTGGACCAGAGAGGGAAGTTTTTCCCCCTCAGCATTTATATTCTGTTTAATTATGAAAAGCTAGAAAGGAATTCCTAACAGATCAAGTGACATTTCTGTTTAATACCATGGTAATTGAATATCACAGTAGTTATGAATGAGATAACCTTGTGTAGATGGTTCTGGGGAGCCACAGCCTATTTGGGACTCCAAGGAATGGTATTTAATACATTTAATATACAGTATTTTTTGCCCCATAAGACGCACTCCCCCCCCAAAAAAAAGTGGGAGGAAAAGTGTGTGTGTCTTATGGAGCGAATACTGTAAAAATCCCTCTAGTGGTCAGTCTGATAATTACATCTTTTTTACAACGCTGATGTGGAAGGACACTGCCTCAAGCTGCTGGGACTAGGTAAAATGGTGGTGGCTTAACAGACCCCCCACACCCGAACCCATTCCACTATCATACGCAGCTGGGTTCTGTACTCATTAGTAGTGCTGGTACTACAGGGCATCCGTAGCAGCCCTGTAGGACGAGCGCCGCTTACTGGACAGCCAGATCATGTGACCAGCCAGATGCCAGGGGAAGCAGAGAGAGAGAGGAGAGCGACGCAGAGGAAGAGAGAAGACTCATCCAGGTACAGTGGTACCTCGCTAGACGACAACCTCTGAAAACGACGAATCCGCATGACGATAAGGTTTTGCGATTGCTATAGCGATTCACAAAACAGTGATTCTAGTGGGCGATTTTTGCTGGACAATGATTTGGTCCGTGCTTCACGGACTGTTTTTTTGCAAGACAACGATTTTTTACAGCTGATCGGCGGCTTTGAAAAATCGCTTCCCTATGTGTTCAGGACTGATGCTTCGCAGGACAGCCATTTTATCTGCTGATCGGCGCTTCACAAAATGGTTGCCCTATGGGCGATCTTCGCAAAACGACGATTTTTCCCCATTGGAACGCATTAAACGGGTTTCAATGCATTCCAATGGAGAAAAGGTTTTCACAAGACCATGATTTTGCTAAACAGCGATTTCAATGGGATGGATTGTCGTCGTCATGCAGGGCACCACTGTACACAGATACCGCGATTTCAATGGGATGGATTGTCGTCGTCACGCAGGGCACCACTGTACACAGATACTGTAATACAGAAGAATTCCTGGCTGGTGACATTAAGGTGCCCATATGGATGACAGTATCAATTAAGGGGCACAACATGGATGACAGTATCATTAAAAATGAGGTGTGTCTCATGGTAAGGTGTGCCTTACGGAGCGAAAAATATGGTATATTTAATATATTTAATAATGTATAGTCATATGAAAAAAAAAATGCGCTTTATTTGAATTCTATGGTTTTATGTATCAGGACATAATAAAAATCATCTGCTCCTTAGCTAGTCAGAAAATTAGCTAAACACAACCTCAGGTGAACAACAACATATGACATATTATACTGTGTCATGATTTATTTTACAAAAATAAAGCCAAAATGGAGAAGCCATTTGTGAAAAAAAAACAAGCATACTCTTATTGTTTCCATAGAAATTAGGAGGCTAAGTAGCAGTCAGGTACTGCTAACCAAATGGCCCTCAGTAAGCCAAAGTTTTCGTAGTTTGCTGGTCTGGGACATTCAGGTGTGTGTTAATACAGTGCCAAGGAAGAGACACATTAGCAATTATTGTAGAGAAGCAATCGTTGCTGTCTATCAGTCTGGGAAGCATGACAGCACAGCTTCAGTTTGCAAAGTTAGGTAAAGGTAAAGGTTCCCCTTGACATTTAGTCCAGTCATGTCTGACTCTAGGGGTTGGTGCTCATCCCCATTTCCAAGCTGTGGAGCCAACACTTGTCCATAGACAGTTTACGTGGCCACGTGGCCAGCGCGACTAAACACGGAACACTGTTACCTTCCCACCATGGGGTACCTATTTAACTACGTGCATTTCCATGCTTTCGAACTGCTAGGTTAGCAGAATTTTGTTGCATCTGGACAAATACAGGACTTCTGGAACACTTTCCTTTGGATAGACAAAACCAAAGTGAAGATGTTTG